ACACGGAAGGAGCGGACGATTGGGGCAGGACAGGGGTAATGTTGGGATAAGATCTTTATCGTTTTGGAAGCCATTGTTTTATCCTGTTCATTTTGTGTTTAAATACTAAAAAAAAAAAAACATATTTAGTTGTAATTTTGGGGGGCCGGGAACCAATTAATTGGTTTTCCATTATTTCTTATGGGAAAAATTCCATCAGAACTCGAACTTTTTAGGATTCGATCCGGAGTCCGGAACGGATTACGTTCGAGAACCGAGGTACCAGTGTAAATGACTCTGACATCTGCATCTTTACACCCCTAATATTTAATAATAGCAATTTAAAACAACTGACATAGCAATAGCCATATGCACATATAGTTTCCATTTATATCCTGAAATGCCCTGTGCAAATCTCAGTATATTTCAGGTTATATGATCAGTTCATTTGCATTATAGCACCCGGTAGGCCTACTGCAAAAGAAAAGTAAAAACAATGTTCATTCTAGTCTTTTAATGGCACCAGGCCAGTAGAACCTAGTGCATTATATGACATTTTCCCCTCATCTGCTCTCCACTGCCACTTAATGGCAGATGTTGCCACAACATAGTTGCTGAAGTGTGTGTGTGCAGACCTTTTACCACGAACACTCCTTTCTCCTTGACAGAACTGCTTACTCAGGCTGGGTATCCATCAGAGTGCAGAAACGCTTATAAAACAATGACTAATGAAAATAGCAGGTCTAAAACACTGAATCATACATATATAGATATCTGATGCCTGAACATAAAAATTACTGCATTGTAACAATAATAACAATAATAATAATACAAATAATATAATAATTGTTGTTGCTCAAAGTGCTTTACAATAAGATTAAAACTAAAAATAAAAATAAAATATTCTGCACTTTTCTTGTGCTTGGCCTTTGGGACGTTTAAAATTTTAGCACATAAAGATTTTAAAAACTCAACTTTAAGCATAGTTGGATTGAGGGATGTATTATGGTACTAAGCAATTAAGTGTTTTAAAATGCCAGTAAAGGAATTTTAAAATCAGTGACAGAAGAAACATGCAGCTTCTTCTTAGTGTGTGTGTGTGTGTGTGTGTGCATGTGTTTGAGCATTCTCTCTGTAGTGCTACTCGTTATATATTTGTATACTCCTGTACACAAACATGCAAGAAAAGATGAAGCATGGTAGGGCCATACTCTTGCTTATGTTCCTTAAGTTGAAGAAGTCAGAGTTATTGATATCATCAATGTGGAGATTTAAATGTTAAGGCTGAGTCAAGACTCTGTGGAACCAAGTCTGTTTAATACCTTTTTCTATTCTGTACATTGCTAATAAGAATTTAGTGAATGTTCATCCATTAATTATATTAAATGGTTTAGAGCATTGGTATCATCAGACACTACAGATATATAGATTTGCTTTATCTGCATAACTATGGAAGATAACCCTATGATAACTTAACCTAACGACAGCCTATACGAGCAAAGTAAAAGCAGTCCAGTACAGACCACTGTGGTATGCTGTAAAGAACATTACACCAGTTGATGTCTTCTTCATGTTCACTTAGATTAACCACAAAATTACCTTCCAGTTAAATATGTATCAGACTACTTTATTACAGTTCGAGAAAGAACAATCCAGGTCTTAAATCCAGTACCATATGAACTGAAACAATAGAATCAGTATGCATTCTAAGGTCATTTTTCACTTTTACTAATGAAGTTTCAGTACTGCAACCTGATCTAAAACTCGATTGTCATTTCTCATGAATATTGTTCTTATGAAAGAAATCAATTAACATTTAAACTTTTAATAGCAACACACCATTTATTCTATTGTTTGACTGAGGAATGGTAGATTGGACATTGATGTAAAATTACTCAAAATAAGTTGTTTCTTAAACAAGGGTTTGACTACAGCTGTTTTGAGTTCCTCTGGAAATATGCTCATATACAGGCAACAGCTTGTTCTATCTAACACAATGTCATTAACATTATTATAAAAGTCTTATATAAAGCGTTGGAATTCTATCCAAAATGCAGCTGGAAGACCGGCGCTGAAAAACAATTTTACAAGGCTTCTTTCTACCTATTTTTCTAAAAACATCTATAGTGTCTTGTGGATGAGAAAATATAGGAATCAATCTTGGACCTGCAGGAAATACTGCATTAAAATTAAAAATCATGATTTTCTTTTTGAAAAACAATGCATATTCCCAACACTTGGTCAGAGAAGCCTCATCAATCATTTAGAGTCATTTATCACCCTGGGAAAAAATAGCTGTGCCTTTCTGTATGCATTATTTTGTTTTAATATTGTATAGCCAATTTTAAAAATATAATATAATAATATAATAAAATTAATACTTGAACTCAACTACAGTTTTCTCAATAACCTTTCAACTTTAAGAGCACTCTCTGCATCTCTGTGCCAGTTTGGCTTTGGTTAGTGGCTTGCTTTTCAGTTCCTAAGGTGCAGCTAAATCTAGTGTGGAGAACCACGAGTTCACCTTTGGTTCCATAACACTTTTTATGAACAAAGGTAACTATACAGTACATACTGTAGTGATCAAAGATGACAATGTCAATAATTCAGTGCACATTAACATATAACTTTTAAGTAATGACTGGGTTCAATGTATGCATGGCCAAAATATTGAATTGGTCTAACATCTTGGCTAAATTCCAGTACCTTTAAAAGCTTTATAAACACCAAAGCCTTTTGGTTTGAGGTATTGTCAACATTAAGATTAAAATCGCCAGTCAAGAGTGTATTGCCTTAAAGAACAATGCAGATAGTAGTTTGGGCAATTCGGGAGGGTTAGAAACTGCATTGACTGTTGACCTTTTAGCACAGTAGCTAAGAACAGTCTCCTTTGCAGCTTAAACTGATGCATAAAATAGCAGCTACTCTAGCCACTTTCTTACTGTCATATGCTTCATGGAGGACGCTGAAATTCTGCAGAGAAATTTAGGTAAAGAAAGTCATGCCAGGTTTCAGTAAGTAACACAAAATCTCCCTTCTGATCATAAAACATTTGATCTTCATTGTGGGTTCCTTGGTGTACTGGACTGAGGTGCTTGACAATTACATTAATCACATTTGATAATTTTATCCCTCTTTTTTCTATTATAAGATATATTAGAATTGACCCATATACAGTATACTAAATTGTTTAGCACGTGATAGTTGGCTATTATAGGGAAACATGGGTTACTGTCTATGTCAAAAGCGTTATTCATTCATACACCAACGTTTTCTCAGCTATCATACAGAGATCTCTAACATCAGGGTGCACATCATCACATTTAAAACATATACAGGCCTTTTCCAGAATAAAGACATCAGTTCTTTATCAATGCATTAAATGCAGAAAGTCTACTAAAATAATCACAGCTTCATAAACAGTCCGTTTTCAGTATAGCTTAGCTACCAACCTCATTAAAAATGTGAAACCCTCCTATAACACTACTGTACATACTGGCTGGATCATTATTTTCAACAATCAATCGAATAGCCTATTTTTCAGCAGCTACGGATGCATGCCATCTATAAGTAGAACACCTACACAAGTGATTTCAGCAACACTTATATCAAAATTCCTAATAATGGAAACACCAACTGATGAGGTGTGGTTGGACTTCGGGTTTTCAATGTTACTGGTGCTACTACTGCTCCCTGCAAACAGGCAATGAAAGGATTTGACTATAAATCTGCCCAGATTTCGCAAGTAAGATTTTTTCAAAAGACCCTTATAATGTCATGCTTTATGAATAATTAAAAGTAGAACATAATTAGTGCATAAATTTATTTTGCTTGTGCTTAAAGTGAGCACAGCAAAATACAGCAAAAAAAAAAAAAACTAAAACTATTTTATGCATAATTTATCTTTTTGAATTATCAATGACGTCACACAAAATATATTCGGCGTCTCGAAGAAGTATGCCTTAAAAAAATGTCGGTTTTATGTATAAGATTAACACCGCATGTTTAACGCCATTATCTTGATATTATAACATTCTACTACACATAAAGGTCGCGATTTCGTCTACCGCATTAGGGTGGTCCCGCATAAGATCGCAATTCAGAAATTGTCATTTTCCAAACGCCTTCTTCTCACTTAAGGTGAAGCGATAAAGCCATAACTTTACAAAATTGCACGAATTTTGTGCTTTTCAGATACCGTATTTATTTGTGAGCTGCATTATACAGTACGTTATGATCCCCTAGCATCGTATAGGCGTGCAGGGATGTATTTCCCCATGCATGGACTGGGAAGCCGAGAAAAGCACTGCAATGCAGAAGAGTTGACATAGCAATACTCCGCGCATCGGCTGTGGGCTAAAGCCAAATTTCATGCACAAATTGTTGTCATAACAGCAAACATAACGTTTCTAACTGTATTTTCTTTTATAATATTACGATCAAAGTTTAACACGGTGTGCGCATAAGTCAAAACACGAGACTGTTACCCCTAAAACGTCCTCTCTTTTAACCTTGACATTCACCATGAAAGGCCCATCTGTTTATAACCGCAATTTTTTTTTTATGCACAATGTCTGTACAGCAGAGACTTCAAAGACGACTAACTGAAAACGACTTACGTGATGAACAGTGTTGAAAACCTAGAAAAAATAAGAGACTTGTGCAAAGTGCTTTATAATTCATCCTTCCTTTTAGAAACATGCTTCCTCGGGTGTCTAAGCTGTAAATGGATATTTCTGATGATAATTTCTTCTTTCCATTGGACACAATGTGCACCCTTTCCCCCTCCATCCAACTTTAACTCGCGCGGCTCCGGGTCTCCTTCCTCGAGGTTGGTCACGAGCACAAGGTGCGCGCTCACCCTCCGATAATAAACCTTATCCTTATATCACATTAGCAAGCTCCATCAGGATCTTTAATTCTTTTAATTTTTTTTAAGTTTAAATCGTGACCGAATTTATAGTTGAATCCGCAACTACACAGTCCAGGTAGTGTTTAAAATTAAATGCACTGCAGATGTAATTGGTATGATCCAAGTGGAGAAAAAAAATGATCGGAGTAACTTTTCGGAAGATCGGCTTATGCACAATAGCTTGCACCTTGATTATACTATATGCAATACAAGCACTTAAAGAAATTTAGCATTCGTGACCGCATAACATAATCATCAAATATAAAACTAGATTATGGTATAGCGCAGTGCCCTCCCATCGGCAGCTTGCGGATTGCCAGCATCCCGCTGTCATCCCAACGCACTACACCTTACTAGGAGGGGGAGAGTCTTCCTTTCGGAACAAAATACAGTACGACCATGTGCTTTATCTTTTTTGCTGTTTCTGTGAAACATAATACAACACATCGAATACGAAATTGTGAAAACATAGTGGTGTGTGGTGCATGATCAGCCCTAAAATTTTGAAATGAATGCCTGGAGATATGTCAGGGACAAGAAGGGTGGGGTTGCTTTAGCACCTGCCCCTTTTGCCCGGACGACTGAAAGTGCTTCCCTTCTGAGATCCCGAGTGTCCTTTTACAATCGCTGACTAAGCAAATCGACGCCTTGTCGATCACCTGCCCTTCGAAACGTCCCTGCAACGGCTTACTTCAAGGTAACGAAAAAGTATGATGACTAAATATGAGAAAAATCCCCCCCATTCTATCTACTTTTAAAACAATTGTGTAAGCATGGACGTGTTCAGATGAACAAAACAGCAGTCACTTGAGAGTGTCTAAAATGGCACATGGTTGAAAAGAATTTCAGTTTTTACCACAGGATTTACACTTTGTTTCACTGTGAGTCATCCAAAAAAAAAAAGAAAAAGAAAAGAAAATAACATAACCCCATACAAAAAAAACAAATATCAGACAATGTGACTCAGTGTGCAGTTATTATTATTATTATATATATGTATATTATTAATGTTATTTATTGTAGTAGTAGTATCAGTATTAGTAGTAGTAGTAGTAGTAGTAGTAGTAGTAGTATCCACAAATACCTAAAATCACCCTGGCCAGGGTTGTGTGAGTGTGTGTGTGGATTAGGTTTATATTACATTGTGGGGACCAAATGTCCCCCACAATGTAATAAAAACCTGTTTTTTTTTCATCATTTGTGAATGCAATCAAAAATGTAAAAGTGCCAAAAGTCTCTCTTTTGTTTGGTTACTTATGATTAAGGTTAGGGCTGGGTAGGGGTTAAGGTTGTCATGTTGTGATTAGAGTTTTCCCCTAGAAATGAATGGAGAATCCCCACAAAGATATGATTACAAACCTCTCTGTGTGTGTGTGTGTGTGTGTGTGTGTGTGTGTGTGTGTGTGTGTGCGCGCGTGCAGATGAAGCCATGGTGGACTACACTCTGATTGGGGTACCAGTCAATCTCAGGGCACAGACAGGCACCTGGGGCCTGTATCACAAAGGGAGATTTGTTGGTTACCTAGATAACTTGTTATCTTGAAACTAGAAAACTTGTAACTAGAAAACCTTTTATCCATCAGCCTGATGGTGGCACAATGTTTTATGTCATTTGCTAATTTGCAGAATCTGAAATATATACATTATCAAACTTCCTAGATCATTCATCCGACTCACACAAAATTTTAATTGCAGCATCTTGAGACCTCATAGACAAAAAGTTGCCCTTAGGATTTTGATCAAGCAAATTGTTCTGATGCTTTGGACCAATAAATTTATTGGGCCTATTGCATTTAATAACTGATTTCTCATCAACAGAACATCCAGTTCTCACCAAACATGCTAATTCTAGTTGGTATGACAATCCGAGGCGCCACATCAAATTTCATAAAACTCACCCTATAGGCAGTGCTAACTGAAAATAATTTATAACTCAGAAAGTACTGGTCCCAGAAATGTGAAATTTTGTGTACTTATTCATTGCCAGATGTCCTGATTAATTAATTATTTAGTTCATCTACTCCTTAGACATGCCTGGTGGTAACCAATCAAATTTCAACAGGCTGTAATTACCCTTGAGTATGACTAAGAATCGTGACATTTGGTGTCGTGGTGCATCATTCCCTGGTATATGACTGAGAATCATGAGATTTGGTGTAATGGTTCCTTTCGCAACTCAGGCCAGAAAAAAGGCACAGGTTGGGCTTATGGTGGTGCTATTACACCCATAATCCACAGGGGGCCCTTATACGGTAATGTAGATATTATAAATTCATACATACACAACGTGCTCCCATGCTTAATACACATTCATTTACAGACATTCTAATGGAACATTGAAGGCATGTCCATAACATAACAAACCTACCAACAGCCACCATAGCATGATGAGTAGCATGCATGTTAAATTAAAACAAGATTTGTTTGGGTGTAAGATTCTGCATCCTCAAATTAAGAGAAAAATCATGTTCCTGTTGATGAATAATGTTGCTGTATTGTATTGTCTGTTAGAACAGGTCAGGAACGAGTTACGACCCCGAGGTCACAACAGGCCTCCAGCCACAAGACTCTCCTCCCTGAAACAAAAACATGTCCCTGCCCATAAACAACTTCACCAACATTGCTTACAGATTTTTTCTTTAACACATGTTTCTCATACTAACCACCCACTGAACTAGTGAACTGTGCCCAGTTTCAGCCAAGCAGCCGTAGAGTAGGTATTTTTTTAGCATTGGCCCATCCATGTCATTAAAAACCATTACTCAGTTTGGCTTTCTTTCCTCTTCATTCTAGGAAGATGCAAAACAAGTTCAGAATCAGAATCAGAATCAGAATAAGCTTTATTGCCAGGTATGTTGACACATACGAGGAATTTCTTGTAGTGACAGAACTCTATACAGTGCAACACAATGACAGTGACAAGACAAGACACAGGTAATAAAAAGAGTTACCGTATTTTTCGGACCATAAGACGCAGTGACTTTTTCTCCCCTCTTTTGGGGGAGGAAAAGGTGCGTTTTATGGTCCGAAAAATACGGTATATACAGATATACAAAGTAGCGTGCAAAATAGCAAAAAGTTATACATTCATTCATTTTCCAACTACTTATCAGGATCAATGAACTAAATAAATCAATGTATGTAAAATAATCAAACTAAAATGTCCTGCACTGGCTCTGTGTTATAAAATGCATCCATTCACCCATCCAGGGCCTGCTCTACCTTTCCAGAGGCCCTAGGCACAGCTTTATGTAGGAGGTCCCATTACCTAGATAACTGGTGATCATTTCACTTCTTCCGCAGTATAGATAATTCTGAATGCATGTTCTGCCTATTGCTAGACCCAGCCTGGTATCCATCCATCCATCCATACATCCACCCAGCTATCCCTCTGTGACTAACAATTTATGGTTGATACTGTATAGCCTGCATGTCAGGAAGCCTTCCCTGTGACCACATTTTGGAGTAGATCCTGGATAACACCTCAAGCTCTTACCGCACTCTAACAGACAACTCATTCAATGGCTATTAAGTGACTCTTCTGTTTCCTCATTATTAACCCATCTAACATTGGCCTTTCTCATATCTGTGTTTATGTCCTGGACATAAAGAATAAAGAGAATCTGAATTTACAATATCTTGAAAAATACCATGTCCAGAAAATCACTGAATTTCAGTGGGGCTTCATTCTGTCTATTGCAGTTTATTAAAGTCTTATCCATACATCCATCCATTTTCCGTACCCGCTCATCCAATGCAGGGTCATGGTGAGTTTTTTCCTGGGTGTACAGGGCATGCGGCAAGGTACATCCTGGACAGATTGTCTATCAATTGCAGGGCACACATCCAAACACAAGCTATCACACACTACAGGAAATGTAGAAAAATTGCTTTACCTAATCACAAATTTTTGTACTGTGGAACTGAAGTATTATCATTTTTTTCCATGGACTGTAACATTTTGCCATATTCATCTAAATTATGGAAGGGCACACCATGCATATTGTACTGCAGACAGTGTGCCAGTTCTTAATCTAAAGTGGCTTGAAGTTATTTGTCGATTCCAGGTTTCTTTGAAGTCCTCTGAATATGAGATTAAGCAGCACTGACAGCTCTGCTACCAAAACATGTTTTTTTTTTTTTTTTTTTTGGGGCAACGCAAGGGCAGATGGGTTGGCAATTTTTTAACCTACAAACATATCTTCCGTGTCACACTGCCACTAGTTCCACCAGTTCCCTTCAACACAGGTATGTACACCGATCTATTAGTATTTGGACATTTTTGCTAATGACAGAATGCTCGTTTGAAAACCATTAATGTTAAAGCTAGTACATGCATTTCCTACTTAATGATTTTTTCAGTATCACTCCACGTATCCTAACAATAGCCTATATGACTAAATATTGTTGCTCTCTAAAACACTAATAAACAATGCTTGCCACCATAATACAACAGGCTGTCATAAGCAACATGATTATATTAAAAAAATACTTATACAGGAAAATGTAGGATTGACTCTACTAATGCTTGATAGAAAAAAATTCATGATAGAGAAAAATCAAGCATGCAACAAGTTGGACAGAGCTATTCAAAAGCCAGTTTTTCCGTAAATGTCGAGGGTGTGAAGAGGGGATTCTTTAATTTTGCCTTTGTATGATCAGTCATATTTCACTTCTTGTTTGAGTATATACAGTCAAAAACTGTTTTAAGCCAATTAACTCAATTGTTTTTTTGTCTTTGACAGTTTAATAAGATGCTCCTAATATTATATTAACTGAAATTAAACACATAGTAACTACTAAGTGTGCTTTATTTAAAATTTGGACTTGCCATATCTGGCAAATAGTATTTAAATGCCTTTCTTCAGTCATTAGGGAAACCTAAAACCACGCAGTGAAATGGTTTATAAAGTGTAAACATATTTATAGCATTTCAAAAATGCATGTTGCTGGTCGTGTTTGTATACATGTTTAAGTATGAAGTGAATGACACTTAAGGTCCTGCCATTAACATATAATCCTTTAGGACTTTGTCTTAATGCATAAATAATTAAAATAAAAACATCCCTATTATCCAGTTGCTTTTGTGGTCTAATGCTTTTGCTTAAGATGTCCTACAAGCAAAAGCTGATAAGCTGAAATTCCAAGAAGGGTACCGACAGTTTTGTCTTATAAAAAAAGGCAGATGTCTGGCTACAGCATATATCCGCATAAACTCAGATGATGACAATGAAAAATTATGTTTAGTTACAATTATTTTGTGATAAATATGCTTTCATTTTTTCTTAACATACCGGCAATGCAATGATATTGACACATTTACTGTATCTACATAAATCTCATCAGCCCATAAGCGATATCTGACACTTATGCAAACGACTTCTGTAGCTGATCGTCTAAATAAAATGTCACCATATCGATTTCTATTTCAAGCTTCACTGCAGTCTACTTGAAAACACAAACACAATTATAACCAAATAAACCAAGTCCAGTTACAGTAAGTTAACTTTAACATACTTTAACAATATGAATTACTAATGACCCGTGGTACTTACCCTGACTGCCGAGCTCCCCTTTCAATATCAACCTGCTCTCTTGACAACAAAATTTGGACAGTTCTGGGCTTTATGTCTTATCTCTCATGTGGTGTACATCAAATGAGGAATATATAGCCCAGAGTAACAGCTAAAACGTCAGGGTGCGTGCAAAGGATGATTTATACGCTGCCCACATTTTCCTTTGAGTAACGGTCTGAAGGCACTGGCACGCAAGGTTAGTTTGGTTTTGATGAAAATGTGGTGGGAAATTACTCAAAACCGTCAATTTATGTGACCGCAGCTAATTCCCCTTGGTATGATTTTTTTGTTAATGTTATATATCAAACATTCCACTTCTTAATGAAGGTAGGCAAAATAAACTAGAAATCCAGTTCATAGGTGCTCGAGTACTGTATGTATTTTTAACCAGCAGCTTGGGCTGAAAGGTTTTCACTCATTTGCTATATTATTTATTGTTCTTAAAGTTTGGAAAACACAACACCATTAACAGTGGCACCGAGACTGCAGTTTATCTTAAATTATATTACACCATGTTACAGTACATTACAATGAGCATCGTAATCTTGCCATCTCCTTTTGAGTCTAATACAGTTGACACGCTACTGCACTGCCAAATTCTTAAAAGCGGACTTCCGAACAAACCACTTCACATTAAAGTTAAATGTATCCCTTAAAACTGAAAACTATATAATGTAAGGTGATCATACATCTTTCCTGGACTTTTCCTCCTTTTTTGGGACTTAAAAATGTCTGAAATGTCCAGGATTTTGCTATCTTTTATGTTGATATTTGCTTTCATCAGTCAGAATACTTTATTTGCATATATATATGCGTCGCTTTGACGCCTCTCTTTGCGTCCTGCCCCCGATGTCCTCTTTTTCGCAAAGCGGAAGATGGTCGCCCTAATATAATGTTTAAGATATACTGTAGCACACTGTGGTTAGTTGCCTCACACCTGTAGGACCAGGGTAACCTGGTCCCGCCCCCCCCCAGTCAAAAAACATGCTGAGGCTGACTGAAGTTACCAAACTGCCCATTGGTGTGTGTGTGTGTGTGTGTGTGTGTGTGTGCCCCGTTACGGCTTGGCGCCCCATCATGGGTTGTTCCCTGCCTTGTACCTGCAGCTTCCAGGATCGGTTCTTGATCCCCATGACCTTGAATAGCAGTTACAGAAAATGGATGGATTCATTTTCATGGCCAGAGCATTGGCTAGCATTGTTGTCTTGCTTTTCCAGGTTGGAGGTTTGAACCCTGCTCTGGGTGTCTAGCGTTTGCAGGTTCTCCCCTATATCACACAGGTTTCTTCTTGGAACTCTGGCCTTCTCTAATGGGCCAAAGACGTGCAATTTGGCATTTTTACCTCATATACAGAATGTGCCCCTGTCCATCCACTGCCTTCTGACAACCTGGAAATAAACAAGATAAACCTTTTCAGTTCTCAGAAAATAAAAAGAATCACCCATTGAGAATACAGCTTCAGAAATTACTGATATCATTCTACCACAATTACAAGCAATGAGTGTTTTCAGATTCAGATGAACTTAGACCTAATCTATCAAATACCAGCCTTCAGTCCATGTACGGCTAAAACGATGAATTCCCCCTCAAACACATCAGAACAGTCAAATGCACTTAACATCACAATAAATGCCAGCTTTTGGAAATGCATTTATGTTGACACTTTCATGGTGTCTTGAAATCCAAAAATACCACTTATTCGATACAAGGCCATTCCCAAAGAACGAAAAACTGAAAGCAGAATGAAAAATTAATGAAACTGTAGTTTAATGAAACTGCAACCACAAAGGCCCTGTCAGTTATCTGCACGCCATGTTGCATTGCTCATTAATCTAAGAATTCTGCTCTCTAAGCTAACAGTATTTCAGTGTTGTCCTCTTGTTTTACTAGTGTCTCAGATTAAGAGACTCCACCAGAGTGGATGTCTGAGGTACAGCGGCAGGAGCATATAAGTTGAACTTGAACCAATATTATTCTTTCCATACGTTTATTGTAAAAGGTAATGCGTACTGTCCATTCATTCATTAATTCATCACTGTGTTGACTCATTGCTTTCATCTGTGTTATTGCAGTAACTGGTCACAATTTGTGCTCCTATCAAGCTCAGCTCTGTTTGAACAAATAATTCCCTGAGATCATATACTTTACAAAGTTTTGTTAAGTTACACCACTGATGCACTTTTTCAATATTATTCTTTCTATATGTTTATTGTAAAAGGTAATGCGTACTGTCCATTCATTCATTAATTCATCACTGTGTTGACTCATTGCTTTCATCTGTGTTATTGCAGTAACTGGTCACAATTTATGTTCCTATCAAGCTCAGCTCTGTCTGAACTAATAATTCTCTGAGATCATATGCCTTACATAGTTTTGTTAAGTTACACCACTGACGCACTTTATTTGGTTTCACTAGTTGATATCTGCCACTGTTTTGTTGTTTTATCTTTACACAGGTTTAAATTCAAGCAAGCTTTTCCCACATATGGCCTCCCAAATGCTTTTCTATAACATGGAGGAGTACAGCTATGAGAATGACAGCTACGATAACGACACCTTCCAGGAGTTGTGCGAAACCAACTGGACCGAAAAGTTTTCCATTAAAGTGGTCCAGATGAGCATTTTCTCAGTGGTGTTCCTTCTGGGCTTCCTGGGGAACCTGCTGGTGATCACCACCTTCACCCTGTACCGCCGGCTGTGCCTGCGCTCCATGACGGACGTCTTCCTCTTCCACCTGGCCGTGTGTGACATGCTGCTGCTGTTCACCATCCCGCTGCAGGCCGGTGACATACTTCTGGACAACTGGCCGTTTGGCAGTATCCTCTGTAAGATGATGCACAGCCTGTACGCCATCAACACCTACAGCGGCCTGCTGCTACTGGCCTGCATCAGCGTGGACCGCTACGTGGTGATTGTGCAGACACGCGCCGCGCAACGCCTGCGCCGGGGGCAGCTGCACTACAGCAAGCTGGTCGTGCTTGGGGTGTGGCTGGTCTCCCTGCTCCTCAGCCTGCCGGAGATCATCTTCGTGAGTGTGGATGAGGAATCCATGCAGTGCGAGCTGCAGTCGACCTGGGAGGTCAGGATGGCCACGCGGTACACCCAGATCGCCGGCTTCTGCCTGCCCTTCCTGGTGATGCTGGTGTGCTACTCCCTGATTGGCCGCATGCTGCTGAGGGGGCAGGGCTGGCGTCGGCAGCGCACCCTCCGGCTCATCCTGCTCCTGCTGCTGGTGTTTGTGCTCTTCCAGCTTCCTCACACCCTCGTGATCTCCCTCAAGGTGGCGGGTGTCATCACCACGTGCACCCAGTGGAACGCCACCCTCATGGCCGAGTATGTCACAAGGAGCCTGGCTTACACACGCTGCAGCCTGAACCCCCCACTCTACGCCCTCGTGGGCGTCCGCTTCCGTAGTGATGTCCAGAAGCTTCTCAGTAGCATGGGCTGCCTGTGTGGCGGCGCCTCAACCTCGCTTTCCGAAAGCTGCGGCTCCACCACCCCCACGCTGCCAACATCCAGGTCGTTCCTCACATCCACCTCCACCACCTTCCTCCCCACTCCGTTGTCGCCCATCCTCCCAGATCTCCGAAAGCCACCCTGCGCCTTGCCCATCATCCATCCAGCCCACGTGAAGGAGTACATCACTTCCTCAAACTACTGTTCTGAGCTGCACCACCATGTTTCCTGAAATGTGCCATTTCCTGTGGTTATCAAGAGCCTCCATATGAAGACTGGTGAAGTTTAACCTCAGCGAGAAGTGTATGTGGAAATGTTAACATGAAGCGAAAAGTTATAATACATTATAACTTTCATTATGTTGAATCATTATATTGATTTTTTTTTCTTTGTTTTTGTTATATTGAATTTTTTTAAGTTTATTTCATGTTAAATATTGCTTAATGGGCTGGTCTGATGGTGTGTGAAGTAATGTTTTATTTTTCCGTCAGTGATTTTATGTAGATGCACTGTGACGCTGAGCATATAAATAAACTTGCTTTCAAACTGCGAAGGTGACAATCTCTGCTTCACTGAATACGATTATATAGACTGTAGGTGTGTGAGATGCCTGCAGGTGGTCTGGTTTCCTCCCACACCATCAGGTGATGTCCTCATGTTGAATGACTCATATTCCTGGTTCTGCACTATGCTTCTAGTAATTGTATATATGGATAAATGTGACTTGATTCAAAAGAGTGCTTATTGAAAAGATTGCAATAATTTTTGCTTAAAATTATGGAATGCAGTTAAATAGCAAAATTCCTTTTCCACAAATTACAACAGGATTTCAAATTTAAACTAACTATTATGTTAAATTTAATAATGGTATTGTCCCGCTGTGCATGTGCCGATTATCCTGAATATTATCTGTCTGTTTAGTGTGTTTGATACCGTAACATTTTCACTAGCAGTAACATGCAACAAAGACTTCAACAGCAAAAGCTTTGAGGGTAATTACACTGCCCTCTTCTGGACAAAATGCTCACATCAGATCTTTAGCAACTGCAGTAATGAGCATTACATCCGTCCTCTGGACCTACTTCCCCCTGTTGAGTTCTGACATAGATTGTCACCATCTTCTGAAATCAAAGGAGTTCCATGCCAATTGTGCCTACTATGATGCTTATAATATGTTATTTATAAGTATTGTCTGGTTTTATTAAATATAAAGTGTAAACCAACGGTATAGATCTTCTGCATTCTTTCCGTTTCATTTCAGTTTGCAGTTTCATGTATCGTATGCACAACTCAATTCCTTGCCTTTATAATAATCTTACTAGACACTAAATGGCAATATTGATTATGTGATTGATTTAAGCTTCTCATCACTTTCATGGGCGCCCAAATCTGTGTGTGTGGATCTACACAGCCTTCCTCAGTGGTCAGACTAACTGGCGTCCCTAAATTGCCCATAGCATGTGAGTATGTGTCCCCTGTGATGGACTGGCATCCTGTCCAGGGTGTCCTCTGCCTCAAACTACTTGGGATAGGCTGCACCCTCCCTTGACCTTGACCAAAATACATGGCATAACAGATTGTTGGATTATTTTAATAATAATAATAATAATAATAATAATAATCCAAGTTGACAGTTCATCTCTTCATTTTTACTGCATAACATACAATTGGTCTATGTTCCCATTTTGATAGCTTATTTCTTTTATATATAAAAAGCACCTTTCAATTTCTAATAAATAGAAACTTTCGCATTTCACTAAATTTCACATGGCTGTTTGATAAATATAAAATATTGTGGCTTCTGCTATAAACCCCTGTTGATAGAGAGCAAATGTTCCCCTTGATATAAATCCAGTTTCAATCAATTATACTCTGATTCTGATCTGATTCTGTATATGATGATGTATATATATTTATGTATGTATGTATGTATGTGTGTCTAGACATATGACAAAGACTGAAAGTCTGGTCTCCCATGCCGAATCTATCGCCTCATGTGACATCATCAAAAGAAGTTTTACACATCACCTTACCAAAGCATAGAACAGTGTGCATCAGAGTTCTACACCATCCCTGGTTTGATACAGTTTTCCCATGCTACCAACTTAGAAAAAATAGTGCTGCCAGTCATGATTGTGACCAACCAGGTCCTAAATGCTTCTTGATGTACCTGAGAGAGGAAGTGCAAAAACTTGCATAAACCTCAAAACAAGATTTTGAACCTGAAAGCAAGCTTTATTTTTCGTCATGCCTCTTCAACCAGTCTTGCCACACAAACTAAAGGAAGTGGCTTTTATTGCACAAATACACACCTGCACAAGCTTCAGTCATAATGCTGATAAAAATGGTGGGTGAACATTATTCTGGAAGAGTATGTGAAACACTGGGCTGGGAGCAGAAGCTAACTTTAGAGATGAATTGGACTTTCGTAATGACAGACTCGTGTTAGGCCTTCTGCTTTCAGACCACAGCTCAGGAAAGGACTCCTCTACTTCCTGTTTTACCAGTAGATTCCCCATGTGCTAAATAAGTCTGCTTACAGGAGGCAAGGGACCTTAGAACTTATCATTACAACACTCACTGTTGCTGTGTCACAGGATACACAAGGTGGTACACTAAGCTTGAAGGAAGTCCAACGAACTGAAAGATGGCTGCTGGGAAAAGGAACCCCACAGAATACATAACAACATGCTCAATATTAGCATTAGCCTTACCCTACACTAGGTTTTTTCTGCATGAATATTTTTCTGCAAAACAGCACCATATATCTAAGATATCAACATACACCAGACTGGATATAAACATAAGAGCTGGCAAAACGGCTAAATTCATAACCTCTGGGTACAGTCCTACCACTCACAATCATGATGAGCTAAGCCGAAACGCATCTTAATCAACTAATTACCAGGTTTAGTAGGTGTGTTTGAGCAGGGAAATCTGCAAACTGTGTTGGATTCTGGCCCTGTGGGACTGGCATTGGGCAACTGTGCCCTAGTGCAATTGGGGTTGAGGGCCATTCACAAGGACCCATTAATGAAATCACTCACGATTTTAACAGGAAACCTTCTGATCACAGGCAAAGCATCCTAACACACTGCCCCAAAAACTTACTTTATTCTGTGAAGTTCCACGAATTCTATTTCTATTTGTACAGATGGGTTAGAATATATTTTTTGTTGTTGGTGATGGGGTGTCAGATCATGTTACACCCCGGGCTCCACATGTGTTACATTCTCGTCAATCAATAAGGTAAGACATATATTCAGTGAAATTCTATAACTGGGTGCTAGCCCACTGCCTTGTGGTTACCACTTGGTTAGCATGCTAATTTTGGTTTATATCTTCCTTTTATATGGGTGTGGCAGTATTATTTTTAAGCATTCCACCATTGTGTGCTGAAGCATTTCATAAGAATAATACCACAATAGTTCATCATATTTAATGTTAAGGTATGTTATGTTATGTTATGTTATGCTGTGCTATGCTATGTCATGTCATGTTGTTAGGCAGCAGAGACACATATGCTATGTTTACAGGACACCCATGTATACTGTTATACAAGCCATCTATTTTTAAACCTTTGTTCACAATTGGTGTACAGTTAGAGGATTTTTGGTTTTTATATTTTTGTTCCATAATTTAAGAAGTATTATTGGAATATGTTAACGCAAACAAAGGTACGGGACATCACTAATCTAAAGCAGAGGATCACTGATGCCATTGCCACCATTGATGAGGGTATGCTGCAGCGTCTTGATGTGGTTCATGCAACTAATGGTGTCCATATAGAGGTGTCTTTAAAAAGGCAAAAAGGTCAATAACAGAGCACGATTATGGTTCAGATTGGGCAGGCCATTCCTCCCAATCACACCCTTCCAGGTTTTCATTTGTCTTTGTAATAAATTTTTGAAATTGTAAAGAGACTTTATGGACATCCTATGTGTGTGTATGTGTGTGTGTGTGTGAGTGTGTATATATATACTCTCACCTAAAGGATTATTAGGAACACCTGTTCAATTTCTCATTAATGCAATTATCTAATCAACCAATCACATGGCAGTTGCTTCAA